TTAATGCTCATAAGTGACACTGAACTTTTAACCAAAACAAAACTATAGCTACCGTTGAGTTTTAAACATTAATTTGACAAGAAACCATAGCATGGACTTCCTCATGGACCTTCAGTAGATCCTGGAACATATTTCAAGAATTACTGATATAAAATTTTAGCAAGAATGGAGAAAAACTCTGTACTTCAGTCAGTGACAATAGATAAGAAATAGCTTCATTGTTAGCATCCTCCTCCTCCTTAAAGTTAGTCCCCCATTTAGGGCAAAGAGGCAGTGAGGTATAATGGAAAGAGTTTGGCCTTAAAGTAGGGCAGACCCAAATTCAAATCTGGCCTCTGATATATAATAGCTGTGGGCCTCTAGGCAAGTCCTTTAACCTCTCAGTGCTCGAGGTAGCTTTTTAAGACTATAAGTGATAATAATTACTACTACTACTACTACTAACAGCTAGCATTTATATAGAGCTTTAAGATTCTTAAACTGTCTGACACATGTTAACTCATTTGTGCTAGTAAAGAGCAAGGGCTTCTCCATCTGGGAGTTCCCTATAAAATGAAATCATGGGTATAGTCCTTATCCTTATAACTAGGACCAAGTCCTTATTGCAAAAGCAAGTAACATGGCCACTGACTTCAGGAATTACTTCCATATAAAAGAATGTTAGAATTAAGTACTCAAAGTATTATATCCATCAAGAATACTCCATAAATCTTCTAATGCCATTCTCCTTTACATGAATTGAACCTTACTCATTTTGAACATGAAATACAAGAAATAAACATAACCAGGAGAGTTCAATGCTTAAACATTATTTAAAAATAAATACAATGATAAAATATGCCACAATATGTAATCTGAATTTAAATACAATTACAATCATTGAAAAAAATGTTCAATCCTAAAATACACTTAAAAATTCAGTAAGACAGTAAAATAACTTGTATTCTTTATACTTATGAGCTTATTATGATCAAGTCCCAAATTCTTACTTATATTCATTCATGACATTAAAAAAATCCCATTTGATCATGATTCATGTTGGGCAAATTAGTTGAGATAACTGGGGACTCATTAACTGTACTGTAAATCACAAAGAGAAGTCAACCTGAAAAAATTTTCTGTTTAGGCCCCCAAAATCTTAGGTTATGCCATAGATTTGGTCCTTAAGCCTTATTTTAGAGGTGAGATGACTTGATGCTGGTGTCTATGTAGCCACCATCACAAATTCTGTCCAACTCCCAGCCTGCCAGTTTCCTGCCCTTCTTCCTATCATTGCAAACACTGTTTAACTTGTTGAACTGAGTTTTTCTCTGACTGAATCAGTTCTGACAATTAACTAAGCCAACCAAGTTGCTTCTGGCAGAAAGGTTTTTAAATAGTACAGTTTATATTATTTATTTAGAATGTGTTATCCTTTATGTTACATCATCAAAACAAATGCTCCATCTATCTTGTTTCCCAAGACCCTCCTGAGAAATAAAAAAAAATGTACAATGTCACACTCAGCAGCCAGCATACGAAGGGACAAGGTTCAATAAGCTAGAGAACATTAACAGATTGATGAAAAAGTTGCTAATTTCATTCTCCCTATCAGCACCTTCTCTTCCTCCTACTTAGAAATCAGGGAAACATCATGGTGAAGTGAAAAGAACAATAAAATTCCTCTCTGAAGTCACAGAAAAGAGAACACTAAGGAAAAAAAAGAAGATACATCTCCTCTCAAAAATGGGCTCAGACACACGTGAAAAGCAATTTATGGAACAAACGAGATGAACACAGCTGCTGTGACTTCTTCAGGAGTCTTCACCTCCCGACCTCCAAGTTCTCAATGGCTGCTTATCACTAATGTCAGAAGGATAAGTTATGAGGGTAACTGAGGTAAACAACTACAAATAGTTGTGCTCTGTTTCTAGAAAAAATAGAAATACAAAAATCTTAACATAAAAGTTTAAACATTTTCAAAAACTATAGAGATTTAAGTAATGACCTGATTTTATGAACACTGGACTTGTTCTGATACACAGATGTGCTTCTTGTCATTTGTCTGTCAACAAGGGGTGTCTTGGATACTCTAGAGGCTTTTGGATACTCTAAAGATTTTAAAGTGCCTTGATGTGAATTCTTACACTATAGGAACTGGAAGCAAATCAACTAAATTAAAAATCTGCAAGATGTCCAGGAATATTTTTCCTGAAGGAGAAAAACTAAACAAAAAAGTTTATGGCAGATCCAGTGTTCAGTGACAAGAGAAGCTTACAAAATTAGTAAAAGAAAATTGCTAGTTCAGTTCTTCCTGCCAGCATCTCCTTTTTTAGAGGTCAAGGAAGCCTAAAGAATTAGAAAGTGCAAAGAAAGCTTTGATTTAGGGCATTGCCAATGAACTTGTCAAGCTTTGAGTTTCTAGAAGCCTGTTCAATTCTTCTAAACACATTAGCTCTGCACACCATCGTGTGGACAAAAGGAGGTATATCACAGGCTTTCAACAGTTGAGAAAACCTAAGGAGAAAATAAATCTGAGCCTTGAAGCTTGAAACACATGCCCATATATACAGTTGTTTTATAAGAAAAACTTCAAATGACAATTTTATATCTAGTATATCTTTAGGGAGGGTTTTAAATAAATAAACATAGTCATGAAATATAGGGAACTGACATTCTTTTTAGTTGTGACCAAGTTAGGATATTTTGGAGTTTTTTTTCCTCCTTTTTTTTCACATTTACCATTAAGGCTGTGTGTGGACCTATGTTAAAGCTATAGAATAAATGTCCCCAGTAGAGAAGACCATTTAATAAACTCTTGAATTATCCTTCTATTTGCACCCTAACTTCGAAAGGCTGTCTTAATTTGTCATTCCTTATTATGCTATGGTCAGAAACTTCCCAAATGAAAAGACTGCCTGAGCTCACTCAGCTCTTAAATTGAAATGTAAGACTGAGAAATTCAAACAAACTTGGGAAAAGCATACACAGTGTCAATTATTGATGGCCTTGTCATCAAGATAGACCTTATTAGTCAAACAATTATGCTGTTTGTCAGAAGTATAAACAGATGATAATTCATGAATTTACTAATTATTCCTCCCTGCTGTGGAGATCAGACATTAATGACATCTCTATGAAAGCAAAAAAACATTTTGGAATGAAATAAATTATTCTATGAAGTGAAGAAGGACTTGGCAATTATCCAGAACACAATCAAACCAGGTACTTTTAAAAAAAAGTTCATTCTGAAGTGAGAATTTTCTGATTCACTTGTTTTGAAATAATTGGATGATGGCCAAATCACTACTTCATTTGGTCCTGTATTATTTGAACCCAAACATCCTTGCTGTGTTGCAAATTTACTAAGATGATAAGAAGCAGCAAATGTATTTGGGGGCAAATAAAACAGGAGGGAAGGAAATTCTTACCTCAACTCCACATCCTTACTTATTCTAAGGTGAAAACCAGTTACCAATTCCCTGGTACAAACAGGGAGTTTGTATCCTTGGGACAATTCTGCTTTGCTTTATGCATCAAATAATGCAATAATAATAATAACAATAAATAAAATCATTTTTCTTTATCAAAAAATCTGAAAAAAATCATTAATACAAATCCTCAAAACAGGAGTAAACCAATAAGACCTTAATCAAAATTACCAAGTAAAAAATCATCAAAGAATAGAAAAAGAAACCATACTCCTGCAAATATACATGAGTATGGGAGTAGAGTCACTTATAATGGTATCAGATCCTCTAAAAACTAAAATGAACATGTCTCATGATAGGAGAAAATGAACTGGGTCAACAAACCATGTGAAAGCATAAATTCAAGAAAACAATGACACAAATGACATTGCTCACAACCAGGAGATATTTCCATCTGTCAAAACATTAAAATAGTACAATAAATATTTCTGAATCTAGTGAAGGAGCAAAAAGACAAACAAGTAATGGGAAATTAGTGTGTAAAAATAATATTTTAAAATACAAAAATGTTCAACCTCCTGACAAATTCAAGTAAATGAACACTATAAAATCTCATCAGGGAAGGTACAAAGTTTTGAAAATTGTATTTCAATGAGCCCCAAACTCAAAATATACACTTAGCACCAAGTCACAACTCTCTGTACACTTCTTTTGAATATAACATCCTGTTAAGGAAACACACTTATGAAGATTCCATTCATATAGTTTGTTTACAGCACCATTGTAGGTATCATCACGAGAAATAGAGTGGTGTTGAACAGGAATTTATAATTTAAAAAACACAAAAATTGCGAGAAAACTTGGAATCACTTAAAAGGTACAACATAAATCAATGCAAACTAATTAAAACAAAACAAACAATAACAACAAAACATATTCTAGGTATTCCTAGACATGTGTACAGTACCTGGTCAGCAGTTCATCGAACTAAAATGAAAACTAAAGTCATGAGTACAGCTACGTACAAGAAATGTCCCAATTTCAGTTGTGCCAAGTCAATTCTTTCCCACTTTCAATTCCAGTCATGCTCCACAGACATGACTACGTTCACAATCTGTTTCAATTTTAGAGTCTGATTGTACTCTCTGTAGGTCTTTGACAATGGAGTTGCCATCTTAACCTTATTTTCCATGAACGGACAAAAGCTCATTTTCCATTCTGCTCTAGGAAAACTGGAAGCTCTTTATAAAGAAGAGAAAGTCAGGAAGTGAGGATTTTCTGCAACAGTGTTAGGGGAGAGACACTCCCACCCTACAAGTGACATGGACTTTGAACCTCTACAATCCATCTGACTAGCTATATAAGTATAGTCATCAAACATTTAAGAAAAACTCGCTTCTTATGACCAATGGTAACTTTATGCAAAGTTAATAAATACTACTTAACATCATATGTTGACTAGCAATCCAGTGGTGATTGTAATTCCATTTTCATTTGGTTTTAGACAACATAGTCATTAGTTCCTCTCCTGTCCCCTTTCCCTGCCCTCTCTCCCCCACTCCTTGGACTTCCTTTTCCAGGAGCTGATATAAATGTTTTAAAGGACTCCCATCTTTCACACTCTAAATATAGGTTGCTGGAACAGAGATGTGTGAGTGCCTTCTCTCATCTGATCTACGTCTTTTGCTTTATTTTGGGGAAGGCATTCAGGATATATAGACTATCACTCTGATGTTGCATACCTGCTACCATTTCCCATTCATCTTTCAGGATGTCCCTAAAAAACCAGCCAGTTTTGTGATGCATGGGTTCTTTTTGGCAGCAATGGACCCAACTGCTCTTTGCTTAGATGGCTTTTTCTTGACATGTCCTCTATAGGTCATTAAGCCATGGAAACAAGTGGTACCAGGTACCAAAAGCTTGTGAGTCTTTTGCAGCTTTGGATGTGATAAAGAATCTTTAGTTCACTCCGTTGTTTTTAACGGAATCCATTTTCTGTTTCACCATTTAAGACATTATTTAGCAGGTTGGTCATAGTATAGGCAACTGAAGAAGTACACATATTTTGATGAAATATATGGCTATTTGTGTTGACTTTTTTCTTTCCCTATATCACAGGAGTTAATGCTGCTCAGCTTTGAACTGAGCTAATCATCAGGATAAAAAACAAAAACAAAAGACTGCTTTAGTTGTAAAGGTCAGTTTTTGAATTCCTCATAATCTTCAGAGTCTCATGAGAAGCAGGAGAGCAACACAATTTCTCTCACTGTCACATAGAAAATTATCAAAAGATTTGTCTGCATAAATTGGAAGGCGGTAGCATCACCCTTAGGCCATCAAAAGTAGATGGAAACATTCAATATGAAGTGAATTGGAGTAAAAGTTGATAGAAAACTTCAGCGAGAACATTCAATTTAAACTTTAAGACAACTTGTATTTCTGTCTCTTCTATGCCTTAGAGCGAGAGGCTAAATGAAATTCATATTGATGAGATAATAAAAGTATGTACAACCTTCAGTCTAACTGAATTGTTAAGACAATAGCTTCTTTTTGAAGAAGAGATGCTTGTGATAATGTTTGGGCCTATTTATCTCATTGAAAAATCTCAATTAGAACCACAGTAAAATTAAAATAAATCATTGGGAATGGACTTGGGAAAAGTATAGAAGTGTCTACATCAGAAGCTAGAGTCAAAGGATTTGGCTTAAATGCTCTAAAAGTGCTGCTCCAGGACAGTGTATATTTGATTAAAACAAACCAAGTTCCACAGATTTGTCAATTGGTAGAGGCCATCACTAGGCGTCAGGTCATTCTCAGGAAGCTGCTCACTTTCCATTTTCACGTCCTGGTGGCTGGGCATGAGGCACAGGATGGGAGCAATCATCTGGGTTACACCTTCCACTAGGTCCAGGGGGACCCTGAGGCCCTGGAGCACCGGGTGTGCCTGGCATACAAGTGGCTAATAAAATAAAGGAAATCATTAGCTTGAAGGCAGGGGGCGGCATATCCTCATCTGCTCCCCCACCCCAATAATATGACACATAGTAAAGTAGAAATGTCAAGGGGACAAAGGGATATTTGCAACAAATAGAGGCTTGTTGGTTTTGTGAAGACAATACCACCATTACCTGAAGGCCCAGGAAGACCAGGATTCCCTGGGAGCCCAATTCCAGGTTCACCTCTTTCTCCCTTCTGTCCTCTGTAACCTACATAAGACATATGCAAAAAGATAAACACAAAAACAGTAAAAGTGTTCTATAACAGCAGAGCAAAATGCAAGAACCATTTTCATGTTTCCTTATTCTTAAATGTTACCTTGAGATCAAACGGCAGCTGTATTCTTTGGTCTCAACCATATGGTTAAACATACATATCAATCTCAAGTTAAAATTCAATAATCCATAAAATCATAGATATGAATCATCCATTTAAATAAAAGATAATCTAGTGAAGAAAACTTGGGTTCAAGTCTGGCCTCTGACACAGACTACCTGTTTGACTATGGGGAAGTCATTTAACTTCTCAGGACTCCAAGCAATTCTTTAAAACTACTAAATTGCAAAAAAAAAAAGTGTTTGTGTGTGTGTGTGTGGTGTGTGTTTCCTTACTGGAGATTGTATTCACTGGCACAATCATCGATTCTCTCTTCATAACAACTATAATGACATTTCTGAAAAATTTACCATTCATGTTCTCTTGGTCGAACTCTAGGTAATAAGCATCAAAAGGGGCTCAAAGCAACTAAAATGAAACTTTCACCTTCTTCCTCAAATAATTTTGAAAGTCTATGTAATCTTTTAACAGAAAAGGACATAAATACCTATTGGAGGCTGTTGTTGCTGTAAAAGCTAAACTACCATATTCAATGGGTCTTGCCTTAAATGTCATTCCTTTAATTAAATAAAATAGCCATGAAATAGTTCAAGTTTCAGAACAGCAATGAAGTCATTATGTGTATTAACAACATGACAGCTAGAATGTGAGTATATATGTGACATTATCCATGCTTGTAAACCATTGGATAGAGAATCAGGGCTTGGTTCAATTTACCATTTATATTTCCATTTAATGTACAAGATTCTGTGCCTTATGAGGTCTGAGATTTTATTCCCCCTATGAGTTGAAAGCTATAGTAAGAGTTAGAAAAAAAGGAGAGGAAATAGTGGTTGAATAAGTTGAACAAATATTGATCAGGCAACATTTCTTCAGTTTAAGCCAACTGAGCCCAAACGGACAGTGCTGGCCCATTTGTCTACCACAAATTACTTTTCATCAGAACTCATAGACAAATATCAAAGGATATAAATATAGTGGCTTCCAAAGAATGCAACTGCTTTACAACCAAGAAAAGATACCCAGACACTACAGACCTTTAAATTTAATCTAAGGTCCACATCAAATTCAACACCAAATTGTACTAATTCCTAAACCCACTTAGCAGTAAACAAACTAGAAGACTAATGGTAATTTTTTCCCACTTCCTTTTCATCTAATCAAAACAATAAAGGAACATTTGACATCAGAGTAACAATATAATCATGCTGAAACATGCAGTTGACACAGCAAAAGATAAAATGGTAGTAGGAAATAATCAACTCAGAAAAAATTAGCTTTAGTCATGCATTTTAATAACTGTGTCTCATTACAACAGAGTGATGGTAAGTACATGAAATCTGTAGACTTCATGGCTTCCTGCAAACAGCATGTGAAAATTCTTGAAATTCCCCATGGCTTTCAGTATACTTAAAGAGGCATCAGGCCTTGAGAGCTTCTGGCTTGCAGATATTCCAACAAGTCAGTGACCTGGTTCATATACATCTAATACTGTCTGATCTTTGACTTGGCAAGAAAAAAGAAATGCCTGCATTAATTTCCAAACAGCATGAGCACTTTCATAACCACAGGTTTTGTTTTTGAAGTGTGCACAATCACAAATATGAAATGATCAAGAAAAACTTGGCATATTTAGTAAACAGATTGAAGCGTATGCCATATATCTACACAGCAAAGAACTTCTACTGATTTATGTGTGGGATTGGCGATGCTTATTTTAGAAAGACAGAATACAACTTTGTATTGTATAGAAAGTGATGTCTAAAGCATATTGGTATAACATCGTAGTTTCGCATACATGAACACTGAAAACATCTCTCAAGTGTCCTTTGCAGAAGTTATTTTTGTAGGATGCAAACAATAAGGAAAAAAAAGTTAGTCAGCTTCATCAAAGGGCAATTAGAAGTGCCTAATCAAAAATGTCCCATTACAGAAAAAATAACAAACTTTACATGAGTTATATTTGACAATTCAGCTATGGCCTTTGTCATTACACTTCTGGGAGATCAACTACATGAGAAGGTGTTGATGATCAGAGGAGAAAAAAATACCTACTAATAGCCAAGCAATGTCAAACTTTCTATCAGTGAAAGGACTAGAGCTATAGTAGCATGTACCAACACCCTGAATATTCAAATTAAAATTTTGTGTTTTGTTTGACTCCTCTACTTTAATAGTTTTGTTATGGTACAATCTTTAAAAAATAGATGAGACACAAATATGTCTGTCTGTTTCTCTATAGATATACACAAGTGTGTATATGTATGTATATATTCAGTGAGTGGTTGGACTAAATGAATAATAGGTAGAAATGGCCCTGTTGAGCTAAGGATAACTCAATTCAAACTAGTAAATGAAAACATTTGGAAATTGAAATATGAAGCTGACATTAACTAGTGAATTCGCTTATTAATTTGGAGCCTGTATTGAGTATGTGTATATATTTATACATACACACACATAGATATATGTATATCTACATCTGTGCATGTACATATTAAGTAAAAGGAGTGGTTCTGGTATCCAGAGGAACTGATCATGTATTGATTTATTATGAAAGTGATGTGCTATATAATTAAATCTGGTACTAACGCTTCAGTTGGAACTCTAGACTTACATTTAAAGATTTCATTTACATGTCTTTGGGCATACCAGATAAATATTTATTACTTTGTCTATTACACATTTAATATGGCTCCTGTTGAAGGCATATATCAAGACCCTTCTGTGTTCCCTTTGATACAATTTTCAGGCACTGAGAAATGGATGTTTAGTGACTTAGACTTTGGAGGTCTATAGCTACACTAGTCAGATAAATTGTTCTTTTGAATAATAGAAGAGCCCTTTGGGGTAGCATGTTTGTGGCTAATGTGATAATGCATAATCATTCAACAAGAAATTTAATCAAACACCTACTGTGTAAAAGGCACTATAGTAGGCACTGGGAGACAAATTAAAAAATGGGATCATTAGGGGCACCTAGGTGGCACAGTAGATAGAGCACAGGCCCTGAAGTCAGGAGTTCAAATCTGGCCTTAGACTAAATACTTGACACTTACTAGCTGTGTGACCTTGGGCAAGTCACTTAACCCTAATTGCCTTAAAAAAAATGGGATCATTCTTGCCCTCAAGGGGTTTATATTCTACTAGGAGGATATACTATATTCCTAGACAAGTAAATACAGGATATATACACAATAACTACACAATGATATGAGGGCAGGGACTGAGTATTAATACTTGGAGGAATCAGGAAAGGTCTGATAACAGAAGTTATCTATATATCTCTATCTATCTATCTATCTGTCTGTTTGTCTGTCTGTCTGTCTATCTGTCTGTCTATCTGAAAAGAACAGGAATTGAAGAGGAATCTGGTACTTTTCAACCTGGCAGAGACAGGGATCGAAGCAAACTCATGGACGTGAAGTATCTTTGTTCTGAGTCCTATGTCCAGCTCTGTATTCCAGAGCAGAGGTTCCCAAATTTATTTGGCCTGTGGCCCCTTTAAAAAAATTTACTCAGCACCCCCCTGCATATCTACTGTCTTCAACCATTTAACAGGGTTTTTTTTGAAATTTGCATCATTTCAAAAAATATAAACTATTTTACAGAACGATACATCTTAAATTTAATACTTTACTGTAAATTAGTCGGGTTTTTTCCTGCATTGAAATTTTGATGACATAGTATTGTGTCAAGTAACTGTATAGTATCATATTGTAAACTAGTCATTGCATGCACATATTTCTGCCGATGCATGTTGGACTTCCTGACAACATGCTTGCCTGCCAACACTTGCTTGTTAAGACCTGTTGGCAGACTTGACCACGGATTGGTTATAACTTTCATTTAGTGTGTTATTTGTAAAATAATGTAATCACTATGACTTTAACTCTGTTACACAACAGATGAAACATGTATGAATGGTTTTTCAAAATTTTTTCTCTTCTCTTCTTTCCTTAGGCTTCTACTTCCCCCTTATTTTTATTCAATGCCCCCTAATTGCCCCCAAGGCTGCTACCAATTCCCTCCAGATCATGCCAGCACCCCCCGGGGGGCAATATCAACCACCTTAGGAACCTAGAGGCTTCTGAGATGGAAGGGCCTTTTCGCTACAACATCAGACTGATTCTTCAGAATACTGAGGGGGCTGAAGGGGCAAGTGAGGTCAGAAAAGTTTAAATAACTTCTCCTTTCTAAAATTCACGTGGCTGATCAGGGGAACCATTAGGGAAGTTCTCCCCTTTTTCTTCACGTTGCTGGACATTGGCTTATTATATTTTCTTGGGCCTTTCTACTGTTGTCCTAAATGAGGAACATCATTGCTCCCCTGGTGGCAGCACCACGTAGATCAAATGGTGTGCACTTTAGGCAAGAAAGAAGTGATTCCAAACACCTAGAATTTTCCTCTTAATTTACTTAGTAGAGCTGGACTAACTGAAACCCTGCAGAGATGGTGATAATCTAAAATTGTCCAGAAAGACAGTTAAAGTAGAACCTTAAAATCCTTGCTTTTTGGAGCATAAGAAAAGTGCAAATAAGGTCACTGAAAGTGGGAAGCATAATTGTCTATTCTTGTCCCTAGGCCTGTTATATATTTCCTATTGACCTACACCTTTTAGAGTTCCTAGTTTCCTTCAAACCTCAGGTTAAATATCAACTTCTACTTTATCTTTTCTGATTTCCTAAATTTCTAGTGCATCCCCCTTCAAAATTACCTTGCTATTATTTTGTATTTAGTATATATACACATGTAATAAAGGCAATGTAATTTTGTAGGGTAAAATGAAATGATCCCTCCCCTCAAGAATCTTATATTCTATTTGAGAAGACAACATTTAGGGATTACAACATATATATGCATATGTTATATATGTATAAATAAGGTCTCCTTATTTTGAGGAATTAAATTTATTTTGTATATTCTCTTTATAATATATGCATTTATATGCATGTATGAAGATATATATTATATATAATACATACATGTATATGTAAATGTTTATATATCTATAGATATGTACTATATCTATACTTTTTTTTTGTTTCCTCCAATAGAATATCAGCTCCTTGAAGGCAGGGAGGATTTTACTTTTATATTTGTAGGCCCAGCATCTAGTATAGGGCCTGGAACATAGTAGGCACTTTAAGTATCCACCATGTTGATGGTTTTTGATTGGTTGACTGATTATTGTGAGAGCATGGGAATAGCAATTGAAATATGAGATATAACATTATTCCATAAGATATGGGTGAGAGTTAAACACTCCTTTCTTAAACTTGGACCTCAATCTCACACATTCTCAGAGTTGATTTTCTCACTGCTAAATACATACTTCAAAGGATGTGTAATGGTTTTACTGTTTATTTAGCATCTTTCTATTTCTTTCTTCCTAAAGAAATATGTGAAAACAAGAAGATTAGCTGTACATATTGGTAAACCAAAGCACTGAACCCTGAAGTGATTTTTCATTTTCCTCCTCACAAACAAGTCCACATATACAATGTTCAAACAGCCTCCTTTCTAGAGATTTCTGATGAGGTTCTGTGTTTGAATACCAAGGATGAAATTTCTGGATCAGTCTGATTGAGCCGGCAGCCTGGAGGCTGACCACTGCATTAGCAGGTTGAACATCATTTTCTTTTCTTCTAGAGAACACTGTTAAATTTTGGAGAGCAAACAATTCGAATTCATAGGATCATAGACCATAGATCCTGAGCTGGGTGTGATGTTAGAATTTGCCTAATCCAACAACCTCAAATTAAAGATGAGGCCTAGAGTGATTAAATGACTTGTTCCAGGTCACCTGGGTAGTAAATAGCATCGCCGGTCTTGGAGTCCTTTGACTCCAAGTTAAATGCTAAAATATTCAGGGCACTAATGCAGTCACTTATGTACAGCCATACACATATTACTGGAGCTGTATTCCTCTTCACAAGCCAATACCAGCACTATTAAAACATTTTTTTTTCAATTGTGTGCCTGATTTCTCTGTGTTTTTAAAATCAATTTAATTAGCATCGCATATACTTGTAGAGGTATATTCTCTTTTAAGTGTATTCCTACTTTTCACTTGAAATTCCATATTACAAACAGTTTACTTAGTTGCCTTAGATTCTATGAGAGTTTATATTTTTTTTAATTGCTGTGTACCTTGAAACCTTTTACAAAGCACACTTAAAAAGAGACAGTAGTGGAGGCTAGAAGACATTTAAAATTACAAATGAAATTACTTTATGATACTTATGTTCGTGTATGTGAAATAAAGTATTTGGGAACTATGCTTAGATTGTTGAATTACTTATTCCTCCCTTGTAGCTTCAAATTAACTTTTCATTAAAAAGGGTAACATGTCAGCTTGTCAATCTTAACAAATGGAGGCTTTGTTAAAAAGGCAGAAAGTGTGTCATTTATAAATTAGGTAAGGCATTCCTTAATATTCAAGTGAAATTGTCCATCAGGTCTTCCTTTACTCCTCCCTCTGACAGGAATAACAGTGGTACTCTGCTAAGCCATTTTATTATGGACCCAGCTTTAATTATACTATGAAAAAAATATTTGCAAAGTGGATGCTGTTAATGGGATGCACTGAGTCAGACTGGGGCTCAAATTCAGGTCACACCCTGTGACTCAAAGTAAATCTTTTACCTTCTTGAACTTCCGTTTCCTCACCTGAAAAATGAGGAGTGTGGACTAGATCAACTCTGGTTAGATCAACTCTAAGGTCTCTTCTAGCACTAAATATATGATCCTATGTGCTAGGTATTTAACAAAAACATTTTTTCTTAAAAATGTACCTAACATTTCCCAATTTCAAAACCTACTTAATAGAATTATTCTTTCACAACCTCCTATACTGCTCATCCTATCTTTAGAATGCCTTCTGCCTGGACAATCTAACACTGGTTTGTAGAAGCCATGTTAAGTGTTTAGGGAAGGAACAAGTTGTCACTCTTTACAGATCACCTCTAATCCCATGAACTCTTTCCCTCATCTCTCATTTCTGATTGTTCTCTTCTTTGGTGATCATTTCACTTTTCAAGCTCCAACCATGCATTTGCTCATATCAGTGTTAACAGTCCTTAGGCTTTATGGAGTTTTATAGCACTTCCATGTACTTTCAGCTGTGTACTCACTCTTCTGTCTGACTCCCTCTGACTTCAGGGCAAACCAAACTAACAAAAGGGAACAAATTAAGCAATATCTACATAATGATATAGACTTCTGAGTGATGTAATAATGGCAGGAATGGCCATTTGTTGGAAGTTTTTCTTATCTGTTTTGTCTTTTCTGTGCCTTTCTTACTAGTTATAATTTGTGAGAAATTGACGGGAGAACAGGGAGTTCTTAATGGCTTTCCTGGATGCTTTCTTCTCCCATGCCAACTAATAAGAAATCAGGTGGGATGACACTAGTAATAACACTAATTAAAACCAAATAAACCAGGAGAGAGTTTGGGAAGACTGATTACACAGTTGCAGCTTTTTAATTTCTGATGAACAATAAGATGAATTTTACAGTTTGGAATGCTTTGTACAGAAACAAGAAAACTTCTGATATGCAGGGAAATAGCACCAAAGGGAAATTATTGAGTGAAGAGCAGATTTGGTATGTACTTCATTAAAATGTAAGTTAAGGCTTATCTCCCTTCTTTATGCAGGGTTTCCTTTGATTTCAAACAGGGTCCAGGAGATAAAAAGTAATGTGGTGGTGGGAAGGGAGGATAGAGAGGAAATACATAAAAGACTGGGTATTTCTTTCTTTCTTTAGAAGCATTTCCTTATTTGCATTTAATATTCCCATGTTAAAGCTGCACATGGTCAGATCCTGAGTCTGTACTGGCTGCTCTGCAGGTCAGTAACCAGAGTTTTAGGGAAAGAGAGTGGACTTGAGAGTGTTTACAAGTTGAATTTTGTCAATAGTTATCCCTGAAAAAATATTTTGGACCAAACCATCATTTGTGGCAAAGTCACTTCAGTTTCTTCATGAAGTAAATAGGAATAATTAAATATGTTTGGTAAATTCTGCTCATATGAAAAATGAGAGTTTTGAAATTCCTAGATATCAATGGTAATAGAAATATATGTTACATATTGTTAACATAATAATGGTTATTGCTATAAATAATTGAATTTAGATTAGCAGTATTTAAAATTGGTCAATTTAAGGCTCAACTATATTGATTAAGAATTTTTAGTAGGTAGCACACATCTCGAGTGCTAGTGGTTAATCACTAGTCTGTAAAACACTGCTATGGTCTTAAAACATTCATTATTAAGAAACTCTGTATGGCTTCTGCTGTCTTCAGAAGGATTAGCTGAATAAGAAGCCTGAAAGGTAGAAATTGGTAGAGAAAGCTTACCTCGGGGACCAGGATCTCCTGGTAGGCCTGGTAATCCATCTTTGCCTGGCGGCCCTGGTTTTCCATGACCTTGGGCAGAGAGCATTGCAGCAGGTAGCTTCATCTGGGACAGGAATACAGCCATCCTCTCTTTGTTAATGAAAGTCCAGAAAAAAAGAAATACATCAGAATCCCAAGTAGATAGTGTAAATATCAACACAACCTAAACCCATCTCTCCTGTTTATTCTGCCTCCTTAACAACCAGGGGATTCTTAACCAGGTTCCATAAACTTTGTTTTTTTTTTAAATCATTCAAAAACTATATTTCTACATAATTGGTTTCCTTTGCAATCCTACATATTTTATTTTAGACACTTCAAGATACCATTCTGAGTAGAGAGGTTCATAGGCTTCACCAGACTACCAGAGGGATCTATGACACACAAAAAAGTGAAGAATTCCTGGACTCTATACAATTCAGTGAACAATTTCCAGGTAATTATTTGGAAATTTTAGACTTCCAGACCTTGTCTTGTATGGAAAAGTAGGTTTGGATTCTTTGCCTCAAATTTAGAGATTAGCTGTCTACTTCTATCAGATTTGATAAATGGTTCTCCCCCGAGCTGAGTCTGTATCACATTCTGGTGACAATTTTTGGGCTGACTTTGACTTGCTGAACTATATTTAGGCATATCACATCAGTTTCACATTTTAAAAATAGCTTTAAAAATACCTTCCTTCTCTTAGCTATTCCACAGAAATATTTTAAATGTATATGGGACCTGAGTTCTTTGTTTTATTAATATAGATGAATTATTCTAAGAATGAAAATCTGGGCTATATTTACCACAACTTCACGATATGATGCTATGCTAGGTCAATATATATGCATGCATATGTACACATACACACACACACACACACACACATTAACAATTACTCATATTTGTTTTCTGAAGGACACTTTCATAAGTTATACAAGGACACAAAGTATCAATATTATTGAAATTGTTCTAGATCTTCTTTGGTAGAATGTTTGCTTTCTTCCTTACTCCCTCCCCTCAAAGATATCAACCCACCAAATAACAAAAAAACAAAACCAAACCGAATTCTTCCTATTATGCTTTATCATATGCTAATATGTGAAGGATCTGTTGGTTTTTGTCCCTTTATCAATGCAGATATCAAACCACTGTGACTTAGAAGAAATCTTATGGAGTTTCCATGATTTGCTTATGGTCATAAGGCTGGTAAGTGTCAGAGGCAGGATTTAAACTAGGTGTTCCTGACTCTAGATCAGGCAGCTGGCTGGATAGAGCACACGATCTCTGAAATCTCTTCCAGCTTTGAGGTTATCACCCTTCTTCAGAGAAGGAGGTAGAAAGATGTTATTAACAGTTTGTTTGGGAACTTTTGTCTGTGGAATTGACGATGAGGCGCTGAATTTCAAAGAATAAGCTAAATATTCAGCAACCTATACTGAATGCCTCTGACTCTGAGTTCGAATTCTGCTTCAGACACTTAACAGTTGTTTGATATTGGGCAAATCACTTCACCTTTCTGGGCCTTGGATTCCTCATCTGTAAAAATGCAGACAGTAACAGCACCTACTCACGGGGTTGTTGTAAAGATCAAATGAGTTAATACATGTAAAGTGCTTTGCATATACTAAAGGGTTATATAAATGTTAGCAATTATTATTATTATTCACTATGCAATGCTTCTGGGAACCTTTTATCATGTACTAACCAAATTCCTCACACTGACTAGGATCGTAGGCATCTCTCTTTTATATTTTTCTATGTACCAAAGGAAAGTGTTGGAAATAAGAATGTATAAATTGAGAAAATTAATATGTTAACTATAATCCTTCTTGTCTATATATATCAACTGTAGTAGAGAGCACTGGCAAGTTCCAAGTACATTGCTCATCCTGGGCTTCCTATAGATTGGGTCAGCCTGAAAGTCTTTTAAAGAAACTGTTTATCATGTTGTATATTAAGGCCTGACCAAGACAGTGTGGCTTAGTGGATAGAAAGTTGGCCTCAGAGTCAAGAAGACTTGGGTTCAAGTCCTACCTCTGGCACATGTGGGTCACGTGACCATGAGCAAGTTACTCAACCTCTCAGTGCTCTAGGAAACTCTCTAAAACCGTAAGTTATAGAAAAGGTGGTTTTTGTTGTTCAGTTGTTTTCAGTCATGTCCAACGCTTTGTGACCCCACTTGAGGTTTCCTTGGAAACACTACTGGAGGGGTTTACCATTTTTTCCTCCAGTTCATTTTACACGTTTACACATGGGGAAACTGAGGCAAATAAGTTATTTGACCAGAGTCATACAGCTAGTAAGTATCTGAAACTGGATTTGAACTCAGAAGATGAGTCTTCCTAACTCCAGGCCTGGCATTCTATCCACTGCGCCACCTAGTTGCCCTCTGAACCATTTACATGTATTTAAATGACATTCATTTATGGCATCTTAAATATGAGAAATAATAAGTTTGGCAGATGGAAAAATCTTCTTTCTCGTACTGTTCATTATTTTATTGTTTACCACAAAAATGCATCTGCTGTAACAAATAACCTCATTACTGGAAAAAAACCCAAAATTTAGTAAAAATTTAAATATGTAGCTATTATGAATTATGAGGGTGGTAGCTGGTACAGTAGAAAGAATTCTGGTTTTAGATTCAGAAGAGCTGGGCTTGGATCTTGACTCTGCTCATTATTTCTGTGTGACCATGGGCAAGTTGCTTAACATCTCTGGGTCTCAGTTTTCCTCATCAGTAAAATAACTAGATGATCTCTGAAGAATCTCCTTTAAGGTTATCACCCTTCTTCAAAGAAGGAGGTAGAAAGCTTTAAGGTGTTGTTAACATTTTGTTCAGGGACTTTTGTCTGTGAAATCGATGATGAGGATCTGAATTTCAAAGAAGGAGCTATATTCTGCAACCTATTTAGAAGATTCCATTTGTACATCAGGACTAATTTCAAAAGCAAATAACCAACTTAGTTTATGAGACAGTTCCAGGAAACATTTTGTAGTCTTTATGGAGTCAGCATTATGTAGTGAGAAGAACTTTGAACTTGTAGTCCAGAGAGCCCTGGGTTCAAAGCCTTTTAATCATGGGCAACTTATCTAACTTTTTTTGAGCGTCAGTTTCCTCATCTCTAAAATGAGGATGCTAACATCCGCAGTATATATCTAAGAGTTTTTGTAAGCAACAAATGAAATAAGTACTTTATAAACTTTAAATACATAAATTTCACTTAATCTTAGAATTTGAGAGTTGGAAGGGACATCAGTAGCCGTAAAGTCCAACACTCATATGAAAGAACCTTCACTAGAACATATTCTACAAATGGTTATCCAGCATCCGCTCGAAAATTTCCAAGGAGAGGGAACTCTATAACCTCTCTAGGCATGCTATTCCACTTTTGGACAGCTCCAAGTGTTAGGAAACCTGAATTTGCCTCTCTGTAACTCCTACCCATTACTCCTGTTTCTGCTTTCTGGGGACAAATTTTATCCCTCTTTCACATCCTTTTCAAATACTTGAACACAGCTATCGTGTTCCCCCCTGAATCTTCTTTTGTCTAGACTAAATATGCTCAGCTCTTTCAGCAAATTCTTATGTGTCTTAAACTCAGGGATTTTTATCAACCTGGTCGTCCTCCTTTGAATATGCTCTAGATTTTCAATGTCCTCCTTAAACCAAGATATCAAGAACTTAATATAATACTCCAGAGGAGGCCTGATAAGGGAAGAATAGAGTGAGATTAATCCCTCTCTATTTCTGGAAACTCTTCTACTCCTAGTCAGCCCAAGATCTCATTAGCTTTTTTGACTATCAAATGCCACTTCTGACTCATATTCAGCTTGCAGTCCATTAAAACAGCTTTTTAGAACAGTTGCAGTCCATCCATGGCTCCTCATCTTATTAAATCTGTGGAGCTGGCTATTTTATATGCAAGTGTAAGATTTTACATTTATCTCTATTGAATTTCATCTTATTAGACTTAGCCCCATGCTGATACCCCTTCTAACCTGTCAAGATCCTTTGTGACCTTAACTGGGTCGTCCAGTGTTTTAGTTATTGTCTTAGCTTGGTATCATTTGCAAATTTGCAGATTTGATGAGCATGCAACATATGCCTTTATACAAGTAAGTCACTGATAACAATGTTAAGTAGTACATAGCTAAGTACAGATTACTGGGGGGATGCTGCACTGTAGATGCCTTGCCAGGTTGATACTGAATTATTAATGATTACTCTTTGAGTCTGGCTACTCATCCAATATCTGATTGTATTACTGTCTAGTCCACATTTCTCCATAGTTTTCACAAGATTAGTATAATGTACTTTATCAAAAAGTTTGCTAAAATCTAGATAAAGTATATCCATAGTATTCCCCTCACTCATCATTTTAGTAATCTTTTCAAAAAACATAAATGAGGTTAGTTTGGCATGACTTTGTCTTAAGGAAGTCCTGCTGATCATAATCACCTCTTTCCTTTTTAAATAATTACCAACCATCTCTTTAATGATCCTTCCTGGAATTTTCTCAGGAATCAGTGACCTATGATTTAAAGTGCTGTTATCTTCCCTTTTTGGATAATCATGACAATATTTCTCCTTCTCTAATTTTGCTGTAGGCAACTAGGTGGTGCATAAATGGAACACCGGGCTTGGAATCAGGAAGATTCCTCTTCCTGAGTTCAAATCCTGTCTCAGCATTAGCTGTGTGACCCTGGGCAAGTCACTTAACCCTTTATGCCTCAATTCCCCATCTGTAAAAGGGGCTGGAGAAGGAAATGACAAGCCACTCCAGTATCTTTGCCAAGTAAACCCCAAATGGGGTCATGAAGAGTAGGACATGACTGAACAATAGTAAACATTTTGCTGTATCCTGTTTTCCATGATCTTTTAGATATCACTGACAGTAGCTCAGCAATCACATCTGTCAGTTCTTTTATGACCAAAATATGTAGTTCATCTGGGACAGGCAACTAGAATTTATCAAGGACAGCTAAGTGCTCTCTTTCTATTTCCTTATTTATTGTGGATGTCAACTCCCTGTTACGTATTTTTTCCTCCTGTCATTTCTAGTACAACAATCACTCTCCTCTGCAGGAAAAAAAACCCCCAG